GCCAGCCAAGCATCTGCCAGGAAATGGCCTCCCACGGCCACAGCTTCCTCCCAGGTAGAGAAGGCAAATGCAAAGTCCTCGTCCTTCTCATAGCCACGCTCACGTCGCCAGGTGATGGCACGGGCCCCTGCCACACGAGCGAGGCTATCTTCGGCCCGCCAACCAGAGGACGAGGCCGGCTCATCCGGCGGAGCGTCCACAGCTCCAGCGACTTGCGCACGGTACACCATGGCTTGCGCACCCGCTGAACTACCCACTATCGTCATCAGACGACGAAAGTTCGCGGCAAACCGGACAGATTTGGAGCACTGGGAAGCAGGCGGAACACACTCCTTTGATACAACCAAGGCACTGCCGATAAGTGGGATCACCACAGCCGCAACACGCTGGAGGAAACTCAGACTCTCCGTTGATTGAGGACCCCAACCATCCACGAAGGGCTCGATGGGCACGAATCTTCGGGTGAAGCTTCCAGATGGCGCGGCAAGTGCTCGATATCTGGCAGCGGGGCACGAAAGGGGTTGGACCACAACCCATGTGGTGATCCCATGATCCAGTGCCGCATGTAGTAGAGGACTTCAGATTGAAAGGTTTGCAGGGGCAAGAGGTCGAAATCGCCGGGAACCTTCTGCTGGAACTCCCACAGGTAGGAGGGCACAAAATTCTCGGCAGAATATGGGGTACGGTAGGGCTGCAACAAAAGGAGGTCCATTTCGGCGTCCAACCGGGCATGCCTATCCCAGGCCTGCTGAGGAGTGAACCCTGGTGGCACGATCGTCCCGCGCCGGTTCCAAATCCCGACCCACGGGAAAACATAGCCCCCTCGCCCCTGATCGCACCATGGGCATGTACTCTTAGGACAGACTGAGATCCGCATAGAGGGAAAACCGGCTGGCCCGTCCCCCCGGGCGTGAAGACGGAGGCATGTGTTCGAATAGAACCACCGAGCTCCAGAGCCGCATCGCGCCTGCCCGGTCCCCCGGGCCAAAAGAGCATCGACCTGGCGACGGAACTCGATGAACGCAGCGGACGAAAGCACCTCAGCAGCCGTGAACATGGCGACATGCACACCGACGATATGCTGTGAAGCCATCCACAGCACACACAGCAAAACTTAGCAGAACAGAAACTCCACTGTCCCACTTTTGGCTTGAGCCAAAATGGACAGTGTACCAAATGTAATGAAGACTGTGCACCCAAACCTGCCCAAAGCTCGACACAGTTTTAGAACTCCTTGTTCATTCCTTGAAGTCCACGGGTGCCCTGTGGGGGCAAGGCCCTCAAACGAGAGGCACCGAACCGGTCTTTGTTGCCAAAAGAGTCGTGCCAAAGCAACACAAAAAATTTTGTGCTGCCACGAAGAAATCAACTTCCCTGTACAAACTTGTAGGTCGTTTGCAAGAGTTGTTCTGTCGCCTTTCCCGAGAACCAGGGGGTCCACAAGACCGTTTCGATACCAAACAGACTGCTTTTCGTGCCTTTAAGGGCCTCCAAGAGCACCAGGCTCCAGTGTCTTGGTTTCCGCCTACAGCTCCGACTCTTGCCGATGTGTTTCTTGCTCGACGATGGGCCGAAGCGGCCGCCTCGCTACTTGATTCACAGATCCGGTTAAAGAGATTGCAGAACTGGAAAACCAAGATCAAGGAATCATCCAAAGGTAATTGTCATTTCATTTACAGACATTTGCGCAATTGTGCCCAGGATGAACCCCCAAATCTCATCCTTGATGAAAATGGCCAGATCATCTATCAACCAGGGCCAGCTTTGGATCAAATCAATTCGGCTTGGGATGATGTATATTCGGCCAATGTTCTTTGTGAAGATCCACTCAAGGTCCTGGAGACCATTTGGCCGTGCATTCATAGCAAGGTGCATCAGTGTGAACTCCCTCCCATCAAAGGGCAGCAGCTTTTCGAAACGATCCATCGCCGGAAAAGCCATGCCGCCCCGGGCTTGGACGGATGGAGAACAATTCCCGGCGCCTTGTTTTCAACCGATCGCTGAGTTCTTCACGCACATTGAAGAGTCGAACCAACCTCTACCTAAAGCCGTTGTGTGTGCCAAGCAGTGCATCCTTAATAAAAAGGGACCAGCGGATGCCTTAAACTTAAATAAGAGAATCATTACAGTACTGCCGGCTCTCCTCCTGGCGTACACGGGGAGTAGATATCGACAACTGCAACCTTGGTTGATTGCCACCCTTCCTCCGGCTATCCTGGGTGGTGTGCAGGACCGGTACATGGCTTCTCTCTATAATGAAGTTCGCTTGGAACTTGATGTTGCCCAGTGTGATTCTTCCCCGGTCGTAGGTGTTAAGCTTGATAAATCGAAAGCTTTCGACAGAATTGTTCCCGTGTATGCAGCCATGCTGACGCTGGCTTTCGGCTTACCGAGGACGCTCGTCAACTTTTTTTTAAAGCTTTACCGTGGCCTTCACCGCCATCTCGCGTCTCGAAACTGGATGCGCCCGATCGCGACTACGGCTGCCAACGGAGTGGCACAGGGGTGCAGCTTGTCGCTCCTCGCCATGAATATGTACAACAAAGTCTGGTATCACCTGTTGGAACACCTGCCAGCGGTGTCGGCAAGAGCCTTTGTTGACGATTCTTACTTATGGTGTAAGTTGATTAACATCCACCAACTTGACACTGCCATCCAAATCACGAAACCTTGGGACATGTTGGTAGGGCAAAAGTTCAATCCAGGCAAGTCGGCTATGTGGTCTTCTCATTCGCAGGGTCGGAAAAGTCTTCGTTCCTTGTTCCCGGAATTCCCTGTTGAACTCGAGTTTGAGGTGCTAGGTGTCAAAATGTACTCTTGTTCACGTAAGGCCTTCCATTACGATCTGGGTGTGCACCGTTTGATCTTGGCTGACATTGCACGCATTGGTGCCCTTCGTATTCCGACTCGAGTCAAAAACCTGGTGCCAAGGTCATCCCTCGTATCACCTTTGGAGCCCACGTTACCCAGATTCCTAAACGGGAATTGGCTCAACTCCAAGGAGCGGTGATTAAAGCATTATGGAATGGTAAGCCTAAATGGCGAGCCAAATGGCTCGTCCAAGCCATACATGGTCAACCTCATCGTACTGACCCAGTCCTCGCCTGTGCGGTGTCTACCATTTGTGAGTTTACTAGATGCTGCCAAATGTCACCGGCCTTGATTCCGGTTCTTAAAGGTACAATGCACGGTAGTTCGTCGCATCCGCATTCCTTGTGGTCCCGGCTCCAGTTTGCATGTTCGGCGCTAAACATTGAAATTGGGCAAGATTTTGGCTTTTCCTATCGGGGGTCACAAGCTTTTGATCTCACGAAACTCCAGCCACGCGAGCTTAAGCCGCTGATGGTCCAGCTCGCCAGACAGGCAGCGTACCAAAATGTTGACCATCGTACCTGTAAGGACTTCTTTCAGCCCCAAGGACTGTTAGATTACCAAGCTACCACTTGTCTGCTCAAAGAAAGGGTTTCCCCTTCCAGTTCCACCATCTCACCGGCTACACGCTTTCAATCCATTGTTGTTGGGTGCGTGCTCACAAATGACAGACTTTCCGCTGCAGGATGGGTCGACTCCTCTCAGTGCCGTTTCTGTCACGCAACTAAGGAGAGTATTGCTCACTTGGTGTATGAATGCTCATCACTTCATGCCATGATTGGTCAACCAATCCTCCATGAGCTCGGCAAGAATTTTGCCCTCATGGGTATCTTGGAACAACCAGGTTTTTTTGGCAAGGAGGAGACTCCTATGTTCTGTACCGCCGAGTATTGATCCTGCATTTCAGCCACACCATTGTGTTGATTTTTGGACCGATGCTTCAGTCATGTGGGCAAATCGTTTTTGGATTACAATTGCAACGTTTGCTGTCGTTGACGCAGATCTCCGAGTGTGCAAGAAGGGTGTGGATGTGCCAAGCTTGGTGGAACTTTCTTACCATGCTGATTGAGGGCAGAAAACAAACCCACCCGCAGCCAGTCAGCATTTCCTGGATCCCTGCTCATTGTTTCGAACATGTGCCGATTGCTCAGATCACGGAAACCATGGCAGCGAGTCGACACACTTCAGTGCGTCACATTGAGCGTAACAGGATTGCTGATCTCACAGCCAAGGAGTTCGCCACATCCTTGTCGGCCGTGAAGCCGGAGCTCCAACACCGGGCTGACAAGGCTGCACTAGAACACCAGAAGTGGCTTGTCAAATTGCATGAGCTGCTGCCCACAAATACACCGTCGTCATCTATTGGCCTGCCAGAACCTGAACCGGACATTGATCAGCGGCAATACCAGGCACAATTCCCACAGTGGGACTGGGATGCTTCAGTGTCTTCTTTCAAGTGGCAACCTAAGATTCCGCTTTGTCATCCGGCACCATCCAGTTGGTCAGGCACAGCAGAGGATTGGCGAGTTATTTGTGAGTTTTTTCCGGAATTTGCGCTGGAAAGTGCAACCAGATGCTATCACCTCTGTGTGTGAACGCTGGGTTATAAGTTGCAAGAGCACAGTTGCAATGCTACATACTTGGATTATCACAAAAAGATCCGCAGAGCAGTTGTCTTGCTTGGTCGTTCCGACAATGTGCAAGCATTCCCGGGGATATTGGCCCCGGCCTTAGCCAAAGCTGCTGGCCGCACCATGCCACAAGGCTCCCTAACCGGAGCGCACGTTTATGTTGACAATGGTGCTTTGATTCATCTGGCACAGATTTTTGAGCTTGGAGCTGGCCGCACACTGGCGTCTTGGGACGTTCCGCTCATCTAGGTCGCGTTTCACTTGCATGTCGAAGGTTCTTCCTTCTTGGGGCATTTCCTTGTATTTAGGTCTGTGAGCCTAGTACAACACCGGGCTCGTCTCACGAGTCATCCTGGTGCGTGATATGTATACATATTCTACATCACCTGTTTCAGGGTGTCTTTTTGCGCGCATGCAATACCGCTGAACCTTGCAAAGCCTTTCGCCTCGCACCCATTGGCCCGTTTCCCATTTGCAAAACTTTTTTGCGCCCAGCTCCTTATTGGACGATAGCTGTCTGGCCATGCTGAAGGCGACAGCGGTCCTCGGAGCTGCCTCTGCTGGTATCCTCCAATCAGTAGTGCGGAAGCTGCTGCGGCATTGTTGGCCTTGCACTGACACTTCTCTTCTTTGTCTCTGTTGCATATCTTTTGCCCTGTGTTGTCATTGTCTCATGTGCACTTATAGATCCCGGGTGAATTTGCATATATAGATGCACCGGAACAAGCTTCGGAATGTTTTTCACTTGGGAAAATACGGTTCATCTGCAGTAATTCGGCAATAAAAATCCTACACCATGCCTCTTCATGCGCCTTGGCAACTGCTAGTGCCTCATGGGCCACAGCGTGCAACATCTTCCCATGACAGGATCATGGCCAAGGTTTATCCGAACTAGGGCGGAGACCATTGGCTCAGCACGACAAGGATATCAAAGCGTGTGCAACGTGTGAGTCATATGCCGTGTTTGATGCCATTTGACCATGCAAAAAATATCCAAATGGTTTGAACTTTGAACTCAACACATTTTTGCAACTGCATTCTTCTGGTTTGACTTCGACCCCGCAGTTGCAGCAAACACAAATGCAAATTTGTTGCAAAGTGAGGTGTCAAACAAGAAGTGGCCCAACATACACTCTCGGGTGAAAAGAATCACTTTTCAGCACCCATTTGGCTAGAGCATGGGCTCCGGAAGCCTCAGTCCAAGGTTGTTGAAACCGCAACCAGAGATTCCAATCAAGAATTGTTCCTTCCATTAGTTTTTTTGTCCGACCAAGTAGCACCAGCAAAACCATCATTTTGTACACCTGCTGGCATGCTAAGCTGTCCATAATTCACTTGCTCCTGAGTTTGGGGCGCACTGGCGGGGGTGCCTTCACATTACCAATTGCACCGTGGCTGGCTGGATGGCCATGGCACTGCCAGTGCCAATATCAAGGTATGCCAATATCAAGCGAGGAAAAATGAGTTCCACTTTAAGCCGAGCCAACTCTCCTCAAAAAGTGCGCCCCAAGCACCCAAAAGAGAGAGAGAGAGAGAGAGTGTTGAAAACGAATACGACGAATTCAAAACACAAAGGAAACCAAGACACAGCACACCTTAGAAACGACTCCACCGGAAAACATGCAAAAATACACATGTCACACGACATATCGAATTTAATATACGGGTTACCGTACTGGGGAACATTACTTTGATGATGGCTGTTATGTCATCGACTTACCCACACACCCCTCTCAATGTACAGAAAAATGCACCTGCCCCCACACCAGAATATTGTGTGCGTTACCAACTATGTTAGTACCTAGAACATCCTAGACTAGAACTAGAACATGTGCACCCATATCGAGAAAAAAGGGGGAAGCGCACCATCGTGCAGTTTGGATCAAAAACTCCTGAAACGTACTTTGTGCTGTGGCCTCCTAATACAAAGTGACAGGGTTCAGTGGGTTCCAACTTGGGCGGTTGCTTGCGGAACCACCAGTTCACAGAGCACAGCCAGCCTCAGCCAAACAACCAAATGTCAAGACTGGGGCTCAAGCGCTTCATCTGTCTTGGGCGGCGTTCGATATCGGATAAAGATGTCTTATATATATATATGTCTTTACGCTTGTCTCCACGTGTCTCTTTGTTTCTCTCCCTGCCGAGTCACTCTTGGCCGAGTGATTCTACACGTATCTCCACTTGTCTTTGCTAGTCTCCCCGCTCAATGTTCTTGCACGTGTCTCCATTTGTCTCTTTTTCCTGCTTAGGTACTCTTGGCCGGATTGTATTTGGCCGGATGATTTTACACTTGTCTCCCTGCTTGTCCTTCTTCTTGTTGCACTTGTCTCCACTTGTTTCCTCGCTTGTCTCGGCCTACTCTGGATTAATGCAGGCGGGAATGTTTTACAGTTATCTTATCTCCGGCCGCCTTGTAGCAGCAGCAGTGGTAGCAATAATCGTTGCTTTATTATGGGCAGCACTAAGTTTTTCGGGGCCTGAGCCTTGGGAACTTCCGGGGCCTGACTGGCATGCCGCACGTGTAGTTGTGGTAATAGAACTTTTAAAGTATGTCAATTATTAGGGAATCTGCAGCAGCATCCTGCAGCGGCACCAACGCCCAGGCTCCACTGCCATGAGCACGCCAGAAACATCTACTGTAACAGCAGCGCCCTGCAGCGGCACCAGCACCCAGCTGTACCTATTGTGGTGTATCTTGCCACGCTGTTCCTCAGCGAAACACCTCGCAACTGAACGAAATGGATCCCCTCCTTGACGGTTGGACCTTGAGTGCCTCAACCCCATGCATCTGGCAACAGCACCCTGCTGCGGAAGCCAGCAACCCGCCTCCACAAGCGCAAACTGCCATTGATAGCAGCGCCCAAGCTCCAGAGCGCACACTGCCATGAACATGTGGCACACACGCACCTCTTCCTACACTTGAAGTAAGAACCCCCATAGCTCTGCTGTCTGTAGAAAAATGAAAAATAAAGCCTTCACCTGGTTCTTTGTCACCTGGTGATATCTTGCAACTGCGGTCACTGATCTCTTCTTCGAGCATTTCACAAGCATTCCTTTAAACGCCCTCCATAGGTCAGCCAAACAGAAGCAACTATCTGGATCCAAGAGTATCTAAGAGACATCTTTTAACCAAACAAAGCATGATAAAGCCACATGTCAGTATAACTTGGCATATTCAGTAGTTACAGTTAGCATATGTTCTGTTTTTTGTCTGCATTACCGGTCCTGAGCTTGAGCCAATTGAGCCAAGAGCTGAACCAAGCCCAGAAGGTCCGAGTTGATCGCCGCGAGCTGGAACGGTTCGAGCCGTTGACCGTTTGACAGTTCGTCTCTGTGGCTGTTCATACAATCACAAACTGTTTGGGGTCTACGCTGGTATACCCTTTTTATTCTTTAGAAATGAAAATCACGCGCTTTTCATGAGTTTGGTGCCAGCCGGGTGTGGAGTGGTGTCTCAATTCAGATTGTTTAATGACGCCAAAAAATTCCAGAATGCTAAAGATCCAAAGAAACAGGATTGTTGGCCAGAATCCACACTGTGGGGCCTCCCAAGCAGCTTTGCCTTTACAAGATCAATGTGGAGGGTGAGGGATTGGTACGCCCCGAGGTCGCTGCGTCGCCGCAGCTCTGCCGATGTGATTTGCGTGGCAGGCGCGGCACGGAGAGGGCCGTTATAAGTTATAAGTTACGGAAGTTATAAGTTAAGTATAACATAAGATATTTCTTAAGTTACGGAAGATATATCTTAAGATATATCTTCCGAAACTTCCGCGCTGTCGTATAAGTTATGTTATCTGATACATAACTTCTGCGCAGCTGCTTCACCAAAGTTGCGCGGAAGTTATAACAAAGTTAGGAAACCTGTAAAAACAATTTTTGTTTACATTATAACATTTTTATTGCAAATGACACATGCTGCAGTGAGATTTTGCCTCAGAACGTTCGCCACAGGGAGTCTCCAAGCAAGCTATATAGCCCACGTATAGCATGTCTGCAAATATTGCTGATGCCACATCTGCGGGCGGGAAGACCCGTCGGGCCCAGCACAAATACGAAGCATTTCCTTCGTTTCTCCCGCAACAAGTGTGGCATGAATTGGAGACCGCGGAACCTACGGGTACGCGCTGGTACCTGCGGGTACCGGACTCCTGTTAGCCTCTGGTTTCTTGATCCCAACCTCTGGGTCAGGGGAAGCCGTGGTTTCCTGAGGTTGGCCTGGGTCAAGAGCAGGGTGGGAAACTGCGGGCGAGGTCGGACTGTGGGTCAAGAGCATTTGACGAGAAACTGCGGGTTTCCTGATTTTGGCTTTGAAGAGCTGTTCAGGAAACTGCGGGTTTCCAGAGGTTGGCCTGTGGGTCAAGAGCATTGGGTGGGAAACTGCGGGTTTCCTGATTTTTGACTGCGTTTAAGAGGGTTCGGTGGGAAACTGCGGCTTTCCGGATGTTGGCCTGTGGGTGAAGAGCTGTTGAGGAAACTGCGGGTTTCCTGATGTTGGCTTTTGGGTGAAGAGTTGGTCAGGAAACTGCAGGTTTTGGCCTGGTCGGCAAGATTTGGTCAGGCAACTGCGGGTTTCCTGACGTTAGCCTGTGGGCGAAGAGCTGGTCAGCAAACTGCGGGTTTCCTTATGTTGGCTTGTGGGCGAAGAGGTCAGGAAACTGCGGGTTTCCTGATGTTGGCCTGTGGGTGAAGAGTTGGTCAGGAAACTGCTTGGCTTGTGAGTGAAGAGTTGTTTTTGTGGATTCCACCGATGTCCGCCAGATGTCCGCCCGGTGTCCGCGAGATTTGGCCGTCAAGCTAGTTAAGTATTGGTCGACGTCCGCGAGTTGTCCGCACGCATTCTGTAATTAAGTAAATTCGATCCCAGGCACACGACTTGTGGCTTGCGCCAGCGCGCAGATGTTGCTGGTCGCGAACATGGGCCGCGTTTTCTGCGCGGACTGCAAGTCCACGGACAGGCTGGTTCGTCGCAACTTGGGCAGCCTGCCCCAGATGAGCGACGACGACAAGCGCGCGTTCTTTAGTAAGAGCACGTCAGGAGCGCGTACTCATCGAGGCCCCCTTCAAGCCCATGAAGTACTGGACTGACCAAGGCTACAGTGCAGCATCTGTTCGTGTTTGTCCATCGCAGGAGGGTCCCATGGGCCAGCTATTATTCCAAGTCACCACCACAACCGAGTTTGCCAAACACTTCGACGAAGAGATCGAACAACTATATGGGTAAGTGGGGACTCGGCAATCCTGTCAACGAGGCCACGGAGGAAGTCAAGTTCTCCTTCAAAGACTGCGGTCTGCGCCGCACAGACAATGCTTATATGTGGAAGAGACACGTCTCACTCGGCGATATGGTCTTCTTCACTGACAAAGTTGGTGGCCAATTCCTGATGGCGGTCAGGTCCTGCATGTGGCCTCCACTTTCTCTTTGAGACGATGGAAAAAAGCAGACCATTCATGGGGCAGTCAATGGAAACCATCAGGGGAAAGAAAGTGGTGGAAGTCACGGCCAGACATGGAAATTGTAGTTGTTGCTTGATGGTGTTTCCTAGGATCAGACGTGCTTTGCTTGCATTAGTGAAAAAGATGTGAGTTTCTGCGCTGCTGCCTGACGTCTGAAACATGGAATTCGATCGAAAGCAAACTTAGACAGCATGAGATACGCGGAACTTAGACGCGTCCACCGCAACTTCAAAGTAACATCTGTTGAACTGCCCGTGTAACATCCACAACTTCACGCGTAACTTATAACGGCCCTCTCTGTATATGCCTGCTGCTTTCCAAGGGGTCGGATGTACCCCCTGAGGTCGCTGGGTCGCCGCAGCCCTGCCGGTGTGATTTGCATGGCAGGCGCGGTACTTGCTGCCAATTGCCACCAACACACTGCCACCAACCAATTGCCACCAGCCCATTGTCACCCACCAACCACCAATTGTCCGCTCCTGTGTCTGGTGAAGTTGTCAACATGTGGGGTTGTCCGGTCCTATAATAATTGTTGAACCTCGAGGGGCGGTGGAAGTAACAGATCGTGCCAGGTGTAGGCACTTGCTCCATGGTGCTCCGACTTCTTGCCAACTCTGCTCGACGAAGACCTAATTGCTGTAGCGCAAAGCAATCCAACCTTGCGTGCGAGGTTCTTCCATCAATGGGTGAACGCTCAGCTAAACGGGACTCAATGCTGCCCAGGGTGTCACCAATCAGTCTTGGTTGACGGCCAAACGCTGCCTGGTACAGGGAAAAGCAACTGTCATTAGGCAGCCACAGCCTCACATCGCCTTCAGTGTGCTTCCCGAACGCTCAGCCACCCCATTCTGCCAAGGAGCTTGAACTGCAATGTGATGCGCATTGTGGACACAGAACTTGCCCACTCCTCCATTTCCCAGCTGACAAACTCTCTTCCTTGGTCGGCAACGAGCACTCGAGGGGCGCCAAACATAGCCAACCATCGTGGAGTCAAAAGCTGGATCACGGATTTGGAGGATTTGTCAGGCAGAACCTCAGCAACCTGAAAACGAGGCCGTGGCATGGGCGACATAGAAATGTTTCTCAGCAGCATCTTCTATCTTAAGCAGGTCCACATGAACCTGATCTGAGGTGTCCTTGGGTGTAGGCAAGGATGCTGGCCTCCTCGTCTTTGGTGGGGCTCGCTCTTGACAAAGAGAAGAGCACTGCAAGAGCTCGCGCCAAACGACGATTGCTTCGATGACCAGTGTTCTCATGGAGGCGCTTGATGGCGTTCAACGAAGGGCTGATTTTAAGATTATAGGAGGAGGAGCTTCGCCAAGCTCTTCGTCAGAAATCTCCCCTTCTCCCAAGGCCAACAGACCATCACCAGCTTCGTCCTCCACATCAACTCACTAGCTGGGTAGGCTTCTTGCGAAACTCGCCTGGTCAGTGAACTTTTGCGTGGGAAGTGTCTTCCACGCCAGCCTGGGAAGGGGGTTCTCCATGACGAAGTGTCGCCCTCCTCTCATTTGCAACAGCGCGACTTCAATCGCAAACTCCATCAACACCATTCCATCAGCTTGCCGTTGATCCAATGAAGCCAGTCCTCGAGTGTTGAGGTACTGCAATGGGCTCCATGGCCCGCAAGGAAATGCAAGCACCGCGCAAAAAGGCATTTTCCTCCTCCAGAACCTGTAGGGCACGCACGGCTTCGGTGCTCAGCCAAAGGGAAATTCCATCCACCTTGTGGCCTCTTCGCTCAACAAAAACCGGCAGAGATCTTGTCATCCGGAAGACGCAGTTCAAACGGCTGCTCATGGTCAGCAATCAACAGCTCTTTCACCTGCCTCGGAGACTTGGAGACTTTCTTGCGATCTTGTTCATGTTGACTCCAAGCTTGAGCGACCATTTGAGCTTGTCCTGGCTTCAGATCTTGGTGAAGTCGGAACTCATGAGGGCTGCTCACATCGCTGAGCCATCCCGAAGACCCAAACGGATCTCCTGCATCACCTGTGGCGGAATGTCCTCCCCGAACTGAGCTGTCAAACTGACTCCGTACAGCTCCTCGTAGGCTTGACCGTTCAGCGCTCGGATCTCTGCCTCGGTGAAGTTCACGGGATGCATCCTGTGGCGAATCCGGGGTCAGACTTGGCTCTGAACTGAGATCCACCTCCATGTCTGGAGTCACCTGCGAGCGCAGAAGTGCCAGTTCTCGGGACATCTGTTCCATCATGGCCCTCATCTCGCGTTGCTGCACTGCCAGGTTCTTTGGATTGTCGTTGAACAGCCTGGTGGTTGGAGAGGAAGAGCAGCTCCACATGAAGCAGCGCTGCCAGCTTCACCAAATCTGCGCGAAGAGTAGGAAGGCCTCCTCAAGGTCCAACGAGAGCACGAGCCTCCTGTTCCCGACTTCCGTCGGCTTCGGCGTTCTTCGCAATGGCTTCCTTCTGGGCTGCACTCCTCAACTTGGCAGTGATGCCCTTTTGAGTTTAGGCTGCCATCATTCCTGCCAGGTCCGGATCCTCGATCAAGTGTCGACACTCGACCAAGTCGCCCATGGTGAACAAGTTCTTCTCCAGGGAGCCAGCCAAGTTGCCGTCGCTGTGGCCGAGGGATAGGGAAATGGCAGATATCGCAAGTAAGGCCTTTGCTGCCCAGCGACACCTTTCTCCCATGCGGAGATACATCCGCTTCCATCTTCCGACCTTCACGTCCACGTTGGCGTTCTCGCCTCCCAAGAGGTTGCCTGCATTCATCCATGAGCCGAACATTGGAAGGTGGAAGTGGTCGATGAAGTGGGACTCGAATTGCAAACGGTCGTCCTGTCAGGCTGCGTGGACACACCTCGAGCTTGAACCGGTGAGCCAAAAACATCAGGCGAACTGAGAACTGCACAAACCATGTGGACCACAGACGAACGCTCTGCTCTGTCAGAAGGTGGTCATGCGACTTGCACTTCAAAGGCGAACCAAATGAAAGTTTCTTTTGAAGCCACTGAACAGGACCCAACTGAAGTTCCAAAACACCATCACCCCCCAAACACTTCCATCGCTGTGGTCCCACACCTGGCCATGCTGCTGGCGCCGCCAATGGCACAAAAAACATGCAGCCAGCTGCTTCAAAGAAATTGGCTTGCCAGTGAGGTGTTCACATCGAAGGGTGCGATTGGCAAAATGCATGTCAGCATGTCAGCTCCAATTGCCTCTAGAAAATCACGACCTAAAAGCAACCCCAGTGAAGGAACCGGCACCAATGAAGCCCAAAAACCAGCGATGGAGCCATCTAACTGCATGGGGAGCCGCGAACGTACATGACCTGGGTACCACCATTTCCAAACTTGAAGGTCTCATACTCCTTGTGGGATTTGACCAAGCCACGAACAGCTTCGGGGGCATCTCTCAAGCAACGAAGGTGGTTGTTGAGCCATTCGGTCCCAGTGCAAGTTCGGTCGCGTGCCGAATCCAGTGCTCCAACAAGCATTTTGTCCGCGGAGAGCTTGCCAGCGACATTCACCTCTTGCGGATGGAGCAAAAGCTGCCAAGAACTCATTGGACATGCGGAAAGCTCCAACTGTCAAAACTTCATGGCCTCCATTTTCCATCGATCAAGGCCTCCCTGACCTTCACTTGCTTGACCGGCGAGGCACGGCCATAGCCGCGATCCTTCTTCACTTCTTGGAGCTTGACCTTGGCCTCACACATCGTGAGAAGTGCTTCTGCAGCAGTTTCAACTGACTCCGAGACTCCTCAATCTGCTGCAATGCGCCGGTGTCAAGCCCACAATTTGGCTGCCTCTTCAAGTTAGGTCTTGCGCCGATCCTTCAGCTTCCATCTGAAGCACCTCATCCAAGGATGCTGGGGGGCGGATCACCATCAGCCACAAGCTCATCGTCCTCCTCCGGGTCCACCTCAACCTCAGCTTCGGAGACCATAGCCTGCCTGGGAAGTCCCCCAAAAGGCTTTTGAAACCTGCAGGCGCTAGCTCGTGAGGTTGTCGTCGATGAAGAGGATCTCACAGATCGGGGCGCAGAGCTTGTCATCGAAGGTGCATACGATGAAGCTCGGCTTGGACTGCCTTGTCCTTGTTGATGGGTCCAGTGTCTCCTCCTCTGAAGGGCTTCCTGCTCAAGGGCTCCTGGGCGTGGAGCTCTTTGAACAAACGAAGGACCTCGCGCTCGATGCTCTCGTAATCTTCAACTCCATTCAGCTCTGTCTCTAAGAGTTGAGAGCGCAAAGGGTCCAGCCCCAATTTGGACTTGTAGAACCACCCCAACTCTCCTGTAGGGAGTTGTACTCCTTCAGTGCAAAGGTCGGACACTGATGTCCTGAAGCGGGCGCTGAACTCAGCAGTGCGTTCTCCAGGCCGGCGGCTCCAAGTAGAATCTATTTCTCAGCTCTGCACGCTTGTCAAGGTGGTCTTGCCGTTGATCTCCTCGAGAGCTTTCATGAGCTAGATGTGACCACTGGTTGGTGCTTGAGCACCCCTGATTGCCGTAGCAACCATCGAGCAGCTGCAAGGTTGTACTTGGTCGTTGATGCCAAGTCCAAACAGTCCATCTCTCTCTTGCCATGTCTGAGGCGATCCGTCCCATGTTGGGACGCGTGCCCATGCGCCATTGCCATCCTTCTCGTCCGACACGATGCCTTAGGCAAAGACAGGGACGAAGGGGATGTCTAGGATGTAGTGAGCCTTTCTTCAGAAAATGAGCAGAAAAAAGTTGAATTCGGACCGCCAGCCGTAGATGTTCCTCCTGCGCCTGCAGGAGTACAACAAAAGCGTGGTCCAGGGAGGGTCACAACTTCCTCCACCGAGATCGATGTCAGAACACGGAGGTAGGTCACCCGACACAATCTCAATGAAGAGCGTGGCCACACTGCAAGCGGAGTCCTCGAAAGCCAACCGCAGCAAGCCAGGGCGCGTGCCCAACAAAGCCAAAAGCAGCTCAGCACCCAAAGCTCCGCTACCACTGTAGCATGAACGAAGCGATCGGACTGCAAAGAAAAATGGTTTTCCGGCGATGGCAAATCGCGTAGTCGAAAATGGCTTCAGGCCTATGAGAGAAAAGTGGCGGCGGGTTCATGCCACTCTCAAATGCACAACAGATTCCAAGACAAGTGCACTCTTTCACAGGATTAGATGGAGAAGGTGCGTTCAACACAACCGTTCAATACGTACTTGTTTGCTGAGCGTACACCCTAATCATTGAACAAGTCCTGAAGGCCTTGAAGACGACCAGTGGTGTTAGATTATATGGAAGGAACAAATGCTGCGACAAAGTGCTGATTTCTCTCAACTGTCAGCGTGAATTATACTCTGAATTTCTGAGTTTAAACACAATATATAAATGAGCATAAAGGAACACCATCATTGACCCCATCTCATATGCCATACATCAAAGATATTAGATCTGAATCTTGGAAAACATGCAGTATTCCGTTCTACTTCAAGTCGCTCTGGCGAACTCTCCCAATGGCCCTGCACCTTGCGCGGTGCGTGGACTTGTCCCCGGTAATAATACAGCGTTGTATAGTCCCCAACGTCTGGTGATGTTTCAAGCCTGACCCTGTTGCGTTAGAACCCAACGTCTGTGATGTTTCAGGCCTGACCCTGTTGCGTTTGAAAATGACACCCCCTCCTCCTTACCTCCCCTCACCTCTACTTTGTCGCCAAAGAGTCTTCTTCTTCCCCTTGCTACGGCCACTGCCAGAGCCTCCTTTGGCACCTGTTCCTGCCAGGACGTGGCACAAGAACCAACCACCAGCTGATAGTTTGAAAAGTCATCGCACCACACTGGCTGCCTGTAGCCACTATGTAACCGATGCCACCGACCACTGCCATAATAATAAGCGCCGCAATCGTACTGTACCATGACCCAGATGCCTTTCACAGGACTCAAGCATGTGCTCATTAATGGAGCGAAAGTGGCAAAGGAGCGCTTCCACCAACAAATTCCCCACCAGCACCTCGGAACTACCTGATGGAAGCGTCCAACTTGGACAAAAACAGATTGCTGGATTGGGGAGTGTGTGCTGCCACATGCGTTGAAAGGAGGCTTGCATGAGCATGGGTTTGGAGCAGAAGTGAGGTACCGGCACACAGACCAGGTCGAGAAGGATGTGTAACAGATGCCTGTTTCTTTCAGCCCCGAGACAGCGGCAAGAGGCTTGTCAAAATGGGGATGGCCGTGTTGCGATCGTAATCATTGGGTCACCTGACGCTCGAAGGGTCGAACGTCACACAGCAACAAGACCACAATAATAGCAGCGACGCACCGGCGAAAGACCACATAGGACAACAGGTAGATCGTGCAACTGCACTGGCAACAGCATGGATGGCATAGGTTATCAGAGGGGATACAATGTTGCGATAGCACGCTCTTTTTTGCCTTGCATCCAATACTGAGTCTCAGCATCGAGAAGGATGCTTGGGCGCTTGGCTTTTGGATTATATTGCTGGTTTTTGCGCCGCCCTCAAAATTGCGTCATTCTGAAAATGATCTCCATCACATTGAGTATGACTATGCAGTGCATGAATGTCTTCGTTAGACTTAAACACCGCTCGGCGCTGTTTTGTTGATAGGATACTGGTCTAAGGGGATCGTGATTAGGGGCCCGCAATATATGTCCAGCCAAACGAACTCGCTTCTGATCCAAATCAATCGTAACGGGTCTAATTCTTCTATTAAGATCATGCAGATATGCTGTTCTTGAAGCATGCAAGTTCGAAAACCCTGTCGTTCGTCCACCGTCGGTCAATGTAAGTTGTGTTTTTTTAGAATTTGCCTCAACCCACGTAGTTGGAAAGCCTCCATTTTCTTGCGTAAAGCTTGCGCGAGGAACACAGTCTCCATATTATACAGCAGCTTGGTCTTAATGACAGCATCATATATGACGAGTTGCCATTTCTTGCTTACATTGGAAGCTTTCCAAAAGACCGCTAAACGCCAAGTTGACATTGCATCTTGGATCCGTTGTGTAATTTCCCTTGGATCCGTTGTGTAATTTCCGTTGTGTATGGTTTAGGTTGTTCCCCAAGTATGTAGCATCTTGCGCTTTACACTAGAACTGTACCATCGAAAAAATGTATGCGCGCCTCACGGTGCATGTTCAAGGAATGGCATTTGGCACGGTTAAGTTTCAATCCATAATATGCAGAACAGTCCTCCATATGTTTCAGAATTTCATTCAATCCTTTTGGGGAAGTTGAAAAAAGAATTGTATCGTCTGCATAGTAAACGGCATCGAAGTCAACACCCAGGGTTCTTGAGTTTACAACGTGACCAGAGCTGCGGGACCTAACATCGTAATCAACACGCGTCATCACCAGCAAAAATAGATATGGACTAAGTGGGCAACCTTGTCTGATTCCCGTGCCCTGGGTTTTGATTTCCGACTTGCCATATTGGTCTTGCACAAAGAACCTCGGTGAATCGTAAAGACAAGTGACTGCAGAGATGAAATGCTCGGAGAGACCCAGTCTTCTCATTGAATCAACCAGCTTTCCATGTTGTATTTTGTCAAATGCTTTTTCCCAATCCAAAAGTGGAATGAAAAGATCCGTACCCTTTTGTTCTGACCAGTCCTGGAGTCTCCGCACTATGTAGGTGGCCTGAGCAGTAGACCTATTAGGTCTAAAACCATATTGCGCGCTAGCAAGCTTGGGGTCCACTGCCTGCTGCATCCTGTTTCTGACTAAAGAACCAAAAACTTTGTATATAGAATGCAATAAGGAGATTGGTCGGTAGTTTGAGGGAGTTTCAATACCACCCTTTTTGTAGATTGGAACCACACGTGCTTCACAAACTTCATGTGGGACATGGGCATGGACCCGCCACGCATTTAGACTGGATAGCAATTTGCCCCTGTTACTGGAGTCGGGCCGTCTTCATCTTCTTGAACAAGTCATTCAACTCAGTGAGGGTAAACAAAGAACTACCACAAACCGCAGTCTCGCCAATCTGACTTTGTACCGGGAGCGGGTCTCTTCCAGTCGTATTGAACCAGTGCTCATCTTGAAGGTAAATCGCCAAAGTTTCCGCGCGTTCTTGCAGTGGGACTAATCGTCCCCGGGAATCTTTTAATTTGATGTAAGATCACTACCTGTTAAGGGGGAGGGGGCCTAAAAAAATGTAAGTTACATTTTTCCTGGGGGGAGGTCCTGGTTTGATACGTCAAAAATGTAGGCTTACATTATTGAAAATAGACGTAGAAAATGTAGGCTTACATTTTCTCCCATAGACGTAGAAAATGTAAGCTTACATTTTTGAGCCTCCAATGCAAGAATACAGCAATATATATATATATATGCCTGCACAAAATTGCACAAGGCTGAAACAGATACAAGTCTGGCAAGTCATCTCTGTTTTCGCGCGGATGGAACGTTACATTTTGAGGGGTACCCTGTAAAATGTAAGCTACCATGTGCCTAGGTGATATGTTACCTTTTCAGAGGTACCCTGTAAATTGTAAGTTGCCACGTGCCCACATAGTAAGTTACATTTTTACCACCCCCTCCCCCCTCTCCTACACTCTGAGCACTCACCGGTGATTCGCTGGGGAAGCCCTGCCAGCCCACATCCCCCCCCTTCCCAAGAACTTAAACTTCCACTGGTCAATCCCTAGGAAAGCCACCGGTGAAAAAGTAGAGGGGGTGTCCCACATACATTTACGACCCCCCAAAAAATGTAAGTTACATGTTTTTACGTCCCCCTTCAAAAACCTAAGGTAAGGGGGTGGCGATGATGTGAGAAGGTTTGTAATCCTTTTTAAGGCTGCCAACTGTTTTCCACAATCTCTTCCTATGTGGATCCCCAGGTTGGTCTTGAAACTGGTTCACTATGTGGCTTTTGCGGTCTACCCGCGCGGTCTTTTTGATGTGCCTGTCTAGAGCCTTCACTTCGATAAGATTACCGTCCAGGTAGCAAGTCTGCCTATAGTTAATGAGTCGCCATGTCCTAAAAAATAGGTAACCATTCTTTTTTCCAGTGTGTTCTCTAGACAGGCATTCAGCTGCGGCCGTGACCAAGGACTGGTTGAATGCTTTCCAAATCTCTGCATCTGCATCACGTGAGCTCGCTAGCAATCTGGACACGGTCTGTGTAATCTCTAGCCATGGTTTGTGCGGGCTTAACAAATTTTGGGGGATGGCTAGGCACCGGGCAGCTCCCTAATTTCAGCCTGAGATTCATTTCAACTAGATAGTGATCCGTGTTCAGATATAAATCATTGTGCGGCTTTGTACATTCGTGCAGCTGTTTCTATGCTGCTGTCTCGTTGACCAAAAATCAATCTGGGCATGGATGTTTGGGGCGAAACAACTTCCAATGTCGGTCGTGTTTTCTCTGAAAGTCGCTTGTTTGGCCGGAGGCTTTTGGAAATCAGTATTCAGAATTCGTAGGGAATTGGAGGCACAAAAGTCAACAAACAAGTCTCGATTTTCTTTAGTAGATTGAGCAACGCCTTCAAGATATGCCCTGCCTCTGCCAAACATATGCGGCCCACTGATCTCGTGTTCATTATTGTATATATGCTGCAATCTAGCATTCAAATCTCCTCCAGTAAAAACCAGTTTAGAGATCTCATTGCACATGTTTTGCAGGAGATCGTAGAACTCATCTTTGGTACCACTTGTATGCCCACTATGTGGCGCATATCCACAAATGAAGGCAATATTAGAACCCAGAGATTTTAACCGAATAGCCATGATTCTTCCGTTTATTTGTTGAACCTCATATAGGAAAGGCTTCATCCGACGATGGGTGATAATCCCAACTCCTGCGCGCTCCCTGTCTGATCTGCCCGGTTGGGTATCGCAGCTAAAGAAGAAGAAGAAGAAGAAGAAGAAGAAGAAGAAGAAGTCATTGTGATATTCAACACTAGAAGTGTTCACTTGGGCTTCGGTCAGCGGTGTGAAAAACACAAGCAGATCACTTCGATTTCTTGCTCCCGCGCACCTTGCTGCTACTGGAAGAATGGTCACCTGCACCTTTAGTGCTGGCGGTTTTTGGCTGCGCCTGTTTCTTCGCAGCTGCCTTCCCCTTGGGTTTGGCTTTGGGCGTCACTGTGGACTTGGACCCTTCAGCTGGCGGCTGCTGCTTTGGAGTCACAGCAGCACGCTTTTCCGCCCTGACCCTGGGTGAGAACATCGGATGCACTTTAAGATCAGGAGCCGGCTTCATCTCAGCTGGAGTGGGAGCAGCCAAGTCCGCACCAAGTGCGCAGGAGGCATCTCTGGGACACTGACAATCGCCCTCCTTTCCAAGGGGGGGCCATCAACATCTTGCGCTAGCGCGGTTTCCACCTCCTGGAGAAATTGTGCATCAGACTCCTGGTTTCAAGCAGGATTGACAAACAACAAAATAACAAAAATGACAGCTCAAAACTCAAAACTGAGACTGAAAATTTGAGAACTTGTCGAGATTTGTCGAGTTGAGTCTAGTCAAGCCCACGATCGGTTGTTCATAGCGGTGTTTGTCTTTGGTTCTGAACCTGAACAATGTGTTTGATGTTTTGTTATTTACTATATTATGTAATATTATATTATTGTATAATATTGGATAATATATTATTGTGATTATTTACCGTTTACAGTAGCAAATAACAAAATCTGTGTTAAATGGATTACCGCTCTCCTTCTCAATCTGTTCTGCAACGGGAAAGGTTCTGCAATTGAAATTCCACTTTGCCAGATAAGCTGCAACATGAACGGGGTGAGAATCAAAATCTTCTGGCGACGGCTCAGGCAACAACTTGATCATCAGCCAACCTTGGCTGCCGTATGCCTGTGCCGATTGCAGGTAGGAATCTGAAGGGGAAGCTTCCTGAGCCTCATCCCAATCCTTTGCATACGCTAGACCCACAGGCGCATGCTTGGGTTGTTCA